GACCTTTAAACATGAACTTGTTAATTTGAAGTGTTTAACGGGACTTTTATTGTGATGGGTCACTTCCTGTCACCTCATTCATAACTTGATACAACTTGATGTTTTGGACCTCGAGGCAGCCCAGCCCGCCGACGACACGGAGGATTATAGCATGGCACAAGAGCCTGCTTTTTCCTGCGATCCCTGGCCAGCGCACCGCTAACGGGAGTCAACATCTGCAGCTTTGAACAGAAAGTCTGCCAGCTGACTTTACCGGAGCAACGTGACGTTACCGCCGAGTCAATAACTCTGCAGAGCAATGAGCGGAACGCCTTTCCTCTTGCAGCCAGCAACATCTCACTTAACAGAAACTTATGAGGGGCCGTACAAGACATTATTCATTCTGGCCCTCTCACATACATACATGCATACATACATACATACATTCATCCTCCTTTCACATACATATATTCCCTCTCACATACATACATTCTCCTTTCACATACATATAGAACAATAGGACGTAATACTTGGTGGAGAAACCTTTGTTGGCAAGCACAGAGGTCAGATGTTTGTTGTAGTTTTTCACCAGGTCTGCACAGATCTTGGGAGGGATTTTGGTCCACTCCTCTTTGCAGATCCTCTGCAAATCCTTAAGGTTCCGAGGCTGTTGCTTGGCAACTCGAAGATTCAGCTCCCTCCACAGATTTCCGATGGGATTTAGGTCTGGAGACTGGCTAGGTCACTCCAGGACCTTAATATGCTTCTTTTTGAGCCACTCCTTTGTGACCTTGGCCGTTTGTTTTGGGTCATTGTCATGGTGTTCTTGGGGTTGCACTTAGCATTTCTCTTCCTCCAAACACGGCAAATCAATGATGCCAAATAGGTCTATTTTGTTCTCATCTGACCACATCACCTTCTCCCGAGCCTCCTCCGGATCATCCAGGTGTTCTTTGGCAAACTTCAGACGGGCCTGTACATGTGCCTTCTTCAGCAACCTTGCTCACGCAGCAGGATTTTAATCCTTTCACGGTGTAGTGTGTTACTGATGATTCTCTTCATGACTTTGGTCCCAACTGCCTTCAGGTCATTAACAAGCTCCTCCTGTGTAGTACAGGGCTGATCCCTGACCTTTCTCATGATCATTGATATCTCAAGAGGCGAGATCTTGTGTGGAGCCCCAGACCGAGGGAGATTGGCAGGGACTTTGTGTTTCTTCCATTTTCTAATAATTGCTCCAACAGTTGTTAACTTCTCACCAAGCTGCTTGCTTATTTTCTTGTAGCCCATCCCAGCCTTGTGCAGGTCTACAATTTTGTCCCTGACGTCCTTATACAGCTCCTTTGTTTTGCCCATGGTGGAAACGTTGGAATGTGATTGATTGTGTGGACAGGTGTCTTTTATACAGCTACATAACGATGTAACGAGTTGACACAGGTGTTTTGGGTAATGAGTTGAGATTAGGAGTGCTTCTTAATGGAAAACTAACTGGTCTGTGGGAGCCAGAATTATTGCTGGTTGGTAGGGGATCAAATACTTATTTCATGCAAAAATATGATAATAAATTTATAAAATGTATACAATGTTGTTATTGTGGATTTTTTTGTGATATTCTGTCTCTCAATGTTAAAATGTACCCATGATTAAAATTGCACACAGTTCCATCCTTTGTAAGTGGGCAAACCTACAAAATCAGCAAGGGATCAAATAATTATTGCTCCCACTGTATGTAGTAATGCAGAAAGCTTCTCTGCAAAGGAATCCACCTTTAGACATTTATTGTGGCTAATGGATTCAGCTTTCTTCACCACTGGCCTCACACTGACTGTAATGAGAGGGAAGACATGGATCCTAGGAGGAACTCTTCTGACATAGCTTTTTTTTCATGCAGCTGGAATCATAATCGCCAACATTTGTGTTTTGCCATTTTATCTCAAGTCTCATTTCCTACATGATTTGAAAACGATCGTACTACTGAATATAAACAGATAAACAGTGAGACAAAGACTGTCTAAATTGGCCGTGCTCGGCTACTGTTCATCTGCTTTTACAGTTGTGCAATATGGCATTGTTATATATTATATATATGGATATGTACAATTAATTATTAATCTTACCCCTTTTCAATCAATGCTTCCAACATACTTCTTAATGGAAGCTATATAATGCTTTGACTGATTTTATGTATACCCCCATAGTTCACACCAAAAGCTTTGAAAATATGATCTTGACTAAAATTTGTTTGCTTTGCTTCTATGATTTGCACCTGCCTAAATGATTGTATTTAGTTGTTTTCAAGTATTGAACCCTTCGCAAACTTGTAAGCTCAAGAGTTGTATTTTCCCTTTTTAATAACCCTTATTGAATGAAATTGTGTTCAATGGGGAAACAATACATGGGAGAGTGCACAGAGGAGTAGAGGGAAAATAGAGGGAAACTCCAGGAGGCAATTTTTTTCCCTCAAGGGGGTTTGACGTCAATAATGTTTGTTTACTATGATTGCATGAACAATGTGAATTTTCCATCTCCAAGAGTTACCAGAGTCACCATTAGAGTAGTCTCTTTTCCATACTTCTGGCCCCAATCCAATTCGTATGGAAAAGCAAATGTTAGTTATAGGCCTTTTCCTATGGAAGCGGTGGCTTCATTATTTGACTCAAATAAAATTAATAATCAATCATCCTATTTGCATTTTAATTTTTTTCTTCAAGACTGCTCATTCTTTTACTTAATTAAAATGAAAAAGAAAAAGACATTTGAGATTTAATTTTCAAAATATGCCCCAACAAATAGATACCAAAATTCAATTTGAAATGTAAAATTTGAAAATTAAAATGTATTTGCAGAAATGCTTTTTCATTTTAAGAATGTGGCTGTATTATCTGACTCATAAATGAAATAAGTAATCAATCATCCTATTTTCATTTGCATTTTCTTCTAAACTGCACATTTATGCCATTATCAAAAAGAAAACAAAGAGGAGATTGCTATTTAGTTTTTCGTGGTCTGCCCCGCAAAATAGTGCCCATAATTCTAAAAGGATTTGGCAATCTGAGCGGCGCAGGAGAGTGACGTCAGTAGCTGCTCTTCTTCAAATCCGGTAGAGGGCGGTGTGCACATATGTGTGATATATGGACTGATGGAGTTCAAAAATCTGGAGTTAAACAAAAAAGTGCTGAAGTGTTAGATTTTGGGAGTTTATTCTCTACATTTAACTACAGCTTTTGTTCAGGGTAACTCTTTGGCGGTGTGATATTTGGGTGTTCATTCACTGGGTGTTGAGGAGCCTGATTCAACACCTGAGTTAACAGCTTTGTCCCAACGCTCCGCTAAGCAGTCTTCACTTGGACTTCACCGTGACTCTTGAGCCAGGTAAAAGTGCGATTTTACTTCTCAAACTAACTATTAGGCTTCTATCAGTATAATAACGGCACATTTGTATATTTTGTCATAGGCTGTGTCTCATTCCGCATACATCCGTCAGTACACTGCTAATGTGCACTGACCACTTACTGCCGTAGTGCCCATTTTCGGTTAGTATTGTCCCAGAAGGAACACTTATGTTAGAACACTTACCGGAAATGACGAGCGGGATGAGCATGACGAACCCGACGAACGCAACACATGTGAACGCGATTTTCCAACCCGCCAAAAATATATGCCGGCTTTTGTTTACAAACATGTTTCTGCACGTTCATTTACCACTCAGTTCACAGCATGTGGAAACTACGTCGCCTCCGACGCCAACGCAGGTTAGGGTAGCGAGGTAGCTAGGTAGCATTAACATTTAACGTTATGCTAATTAACTTGCCAAATGATTATGTCTGGCTTCAGTCAGTGTCAGTGAGGACATGTAAGTAATGCATTAGACGACAGTAAAACGTTTCGTATTACCGCTGTTACTTACATTTATACGATAGAGTTCACATTTATAACGTGCTCGTCCCAATGGTCCCTCCCCTTCCGCTTTGTAGTCAAGATGGCGTCCGTTTAGTGCGAGTAGGGTCCATCATTCCACACTGAATTTTTTGACCGTTTTTAGGGGGTCATCCGGGTACTTTCAGTGCACTGACTTTATGTGTTATCTACACTATATATATATATATATATATATATATATATATATATATATATATATATATAACTCGCTAGCTAACGTTAGCTGTCAAAGTTTATGTTTGAACTTGTCTGACCAAGCTTAATATAAATCGATGGCTCCGCTCATTTTACTTGTTTGTACTTAGCGCATGGAATTAACATCATACTCGTCATTACTGATATTTCTTTGCGTATTTTAAGTTAACATTAGCCTACACTTTTTTTTACAAGCTTAGAGGCAATCTCTCAATCATTTTCGTTGTAAAGACATGACTGGGACCACTGAATTTAATCCAACGCATGCTATTGATTGAATAACAGCTACTACAAAGACTATTTTGTTAGAGTGACAGTCCACATGTTGTTGTTGAAGATACAACAAGGAAGGACAAAGAAGTATGTGAAACTGGAAGAGGTCAGCTTCTCAGATTTTATCAATGCAGGTAGGTGATGTACCTATGTCTTGTCTGATGTCATTAAAGGGGAAATAATAATTTAATGTGTTGAATGTTGTGCTTCAGTGCAGCAGAAGTTTCTCATACCAGAAGATAAAAGGCTAAAAGTCGCAGATGAGCAGGGCATAGAGGTGGATGAGGATGTCTTTCCAGAACTTGCAACAGAACCAATGTGTTTTGTTATCTCCACTCATGATGGTAAGGGGATTGAACATTTCTGGGTTTGTTTGTTTTTTGCAGAAAAGCTTTTACAGCTTTGC